AAGCTTTAGACAAATTAAGAAATATCAGAGCATTTTTTATACATTTTAAATCATTGTTAAGTTATTTCAAGTTTTTTTTTTTTTTTTAAATGTGCGAGTGACAATTGCTGTTTTCTCTTTCTACCAATAATATTTCTAATTTTAATATCCTACATTTTTTAATTTGTTTTATCCTGCTTATGCATACATATTTAATACATCAATATACTTATAAGTGGTAATTACTTCATTTTAATATACTTTCTATCGATAATGATTCATTATTATTTTGCTATCTTTTTTTGGTTTATGTTATTTTTATATTAATCTTATTATTCCTAATATTACAATTTTACACATGAAAATTATTACTGGTTATTAAGAATGCTCTATAATAACTTTGCGGGCACAAAATTTTAGTTGAGTTTATTTCGGAAAATGACCTGTGCTGCTCATCAATCATTAAACAATGTGCTGATTGAATGTGATCAAAATTTCTTAATCAGTTCTCAATCTAATTTCATAATCAATACTCAGTATTTTGAAAAATTAAATAATAATTGATCTCTGAATTTTATATATATCTTTCTCTCTGTATCTGTGCAGTTTCGATATGTTTCTATAACGAGACATTCGTTTCCCTTTTTTTGTATTACAGCATGACGCGCGGATATACGTATGTATAGTTTTTTGCTATCGATTCTCTGTTTACGAACAACAAAAGGTCTTGCGAAAATGTTTGTCGATAGTCTCCCTGTCGAAATATATTTTTGTGTACGGTCGTCTCTTTGTGCGCGGCCATTAGATTTGACGCAATCTTGGAAATGGATCAGACTTACACGATGCAACAAACTTTGAAAATCTTGTTACTTAAAAGAGTTTTTGTTGCTCTTTTTCAATTTTAATATAATATATTATCATAGCTTTTTATATAGAAGTAAAATATTTTTTTTTTTATATATAAAAACAATTAAGATAAGAATAATAACAGTTTCTCTCTTTTACTTGCACCAAAAACGGTGTTACCAGAATTAAATCTTTATTGCTAAAAAAGAATTTGTATTTTATTATTTTAGAGAGAATTTATCATTTTTAATGCATATCTATAAGTACATTCTTATGGATACAAAATATTTTATAATTTCTAGGATATTTACTGAATATCTAGATGTCACGCAATATGTGTATTCAGTCATTCAATATCCAAGAGATATCACACAATGAATATCTCCTAAATATTCATTTCCTATATAGGTGACATTGTAAACGTAATCGTATAGAGCGCACGTGTAAAACAATCGCGTATGCGAAGACAGATATGTAAACGCGACGTTGGACAAATATATCCTCGATACTAACAATTCCCTCTGGTCCATGAAAGATTATTGCGTGCGGGTGTTGCGAGCAGGACATTTAAAAGAAGAAGTCGATAAAGCTGTAAATGCTGTGCGAGAAATAAGGACGAAAAGAGAGAGAGAGAGAGAGAGAGATAGAGAGAAAAAGAGAACAAAAGAGGGAGAGAGTTCATAAATAAAAGGTAGATCAGAGAGATCAGAGGCCAGCAAAGAGACGAAGGTGCGATGGCGCGAGAGTGTTGATTGAAGTGCACGTACTTACGCACGTACTTACTCGGATACGGTGCCATCGCATACGGATGTGCAACGGATGCGGAATGTAGGCGATGCAGGTGCATTGTCGTCGCTCCTCCCTCGTGGTCGCACTGCCAGCTTCGCCGTTTCGATGTGCGACGTGCTTGAATGCGCGTATGCATGCGTCAAATGCATGCTGTCGCGCTCTGGAACGCTTGATGCTCCACTCTTGTCAAGAGTGGAAAAAACCACACACGCGTAATTATTACACTACATTTTTGATTATGCAATAGAGTATTTTATAAGCCACACACACAGATATCTAACGAATATGTTTGCATTTTTTTATATCCAAATTTCTTGCAATAATCAAATTTTTGGATGTAATACATTTATTACTGTACGTGAAAAAAGAGTTTGTCATAAAGGTCTGTCATTATTTGTGTAAAAAGGCAAAGAATAAAAATGATATTGTATGCATGAAACGTTTATGTATTGCAAGAGAATTGGATATTCATTGGATAATAAATATTCAAAGAATATATTATATATTCACCAAAAATCTGTGCCATGCATATTTTTTGCAAGATGCATCGAGATCTTGTTGTTAATTACTGATTATTCCATTTGTATCTGATGATTCTAGAATTAAAATCTTTTGAAATGCGATTGATCAAATTCGTAGGAATTAATTCATACGTTGTTTGATTTAAAAAATTTTTCCTTAAATACTGCTTTGCGAATTATCACTTATAGTTTGCTGGTTTACCGTTCAAAGAAAAAGCATTTTACTAGTTGATTATGAAGTATTGACTGCCATATTCATCTATAGATTGAATGATTAGACTTTGAAAACATCATTGTTTGATATAAATCCTGATAGAGAAAATTTTAGATTCTTAATTTCGAGAGAGAATTGATCATGCTATATTTTTCCTCCTCATATTCATCTGTGAAAAGTTTAGAAACTTTAATTCTTTATAATGTAAAAATCCTTTTTTCAATGACAATTTTTTTTGTTTCACAAGTTTATCCATATTATGATCGTATTCAGTGTAGACGACAATGTAAATATGGATCAATGGGTTTCATTAACCTGCACTTTTCGTTTTTCTTTCGCGACTCCATCAAAGAATCGCCTGTCGATTTTATTTTAAAAACGAAATGTTGCATTTTTGTTCTGTCTCAATTTGTTTAGTTACGATACGGCCCCTTATAAAGCCGCGCAACACAATTAATTTTAACTTGGGATTAATTTGGACTCGGGATTTTTGTATGAACGCCGCCGGTGCGTTCCATTGTTTCATTTTTTTTGCGGACGCCACAGCAAAAGTGCAATTTAAGCGATATTCGTATTTTTTATTCGAGCCTGTTCGTCGAATATAGACGAATGTCGAACGTATTACTTCGTAAACGAGATCCAACGATCGCGATCTAGCTGTTCAATATTGATCCTGAATGGAGGAAATATGAATGACGTGCATTGTATGGTTCAACGATCATTATTTAGCGATTACGAAACGATCGGCTGTACAATAATTTGAGATCTCGGATCATAAATATCCGTATAAAACACGGTATGGCGAACCTTCTTCTTAATTGACGTCTATAGATAGGTGATATACAATGTGAGAGAGACGGTATTTCGTAGCTCTACCGTTTTGTTTAATAAAATTATTCGTTTAAATACTTATCACAACATGTGGAATATATCGTAGGAACCCTGCCTGTGTGTGTCTTAACGTGCGTATCTGTATATATATATATATATGTGTGTGTGTGTGTGTGTGTGTGTGTATACGTATGTATGAGTGTATGTCCAATTTTACAACCACAGCGAATCTCGTTTATACATCAGATATTGGAACCAATGTAATTTTAGCGAGTTCAAATTTCCGTAGACACGCGAAAACAATCTCCGTGTTTATACGCGACAATGGAAACGCCAACGCACACATTTTTCGATATTTCTCTTTTTCTTATTGAAAATTGAACTCACCGAAGTTGCACCGATAGTCTAATCCCTGGATTACATTAACGCAGCTTCCGGTCACGGGCTCGTAGCGTCTCCCTCGGCGCTCAAAATTACATAAACGCGAATTACATTTTGCGCAAAGACTATTTACAGGGAAACAATTAGAGAAACGGGCACGATTCGATAACAATTAAAATATCGGGTGTCGCACAATCGCACGCGGGACGGCTCGAAAATTGCATTCTCGCATCCGCGCGAATTATTTCTCTCGCGCGCATCGGCACAAGTCGCTTTCTCTCTCTCTATTGCTATTATTATTCTATCTACAGAGATTCCAAATATCAAGTGAATCGAATGCAAGTAAAATTTAATTTCCCGTTCTTCGATCGCGGTATATCGTGAAATTTTGCATCCCGTGTACAGTACACAAACAAATTGGAAGCGACAACTTACACGGCGCGATATTATTACATCATCGACGAACCGGAAGAGAAACCATACGAGATCGCGGCCAACTTTCGTCGTCCGTGGCTCGAGGAAGGGAGGCGAAATCATTATAATCACAGTTCAATTCTCTGCACAATTGCGCGGACTAGCATAATATCTCTGGCACTCGGTATAAAAGGCATAAGTCGAAATATCTTGTTTTTCCGAAGAGGCGAAAGAAAATTTAACTATCTACTATAAAACGCGAAATATTATCCAATCTTAATTATAAACATTATAATTATCGATATAATATTTTTATGATAATATGATAATAGTGCAATATATTATAAATTTAGTACATTTTTTATAATTTCTCTCAAGATAAACAAAATCGTGTGTGTTGGAACTTAAAGCCTCTTTATCAAGCACCAAAAATAATTTTATTAAATAATTTGTAAAAGATTATATACTCTTTTCTAGGTAACAATAGAAGATAGAGATATGAATAGAGATATGAGAGTATAAGCTTATGCTTAGAAAATGTAGAGTTTCAATTTATTGAATTTATATTCCGATAAAATATTTTATTTATTGCTATGAGATAGACAGAAAGAGAATAAAATCATTATCATTAGGATATACAACGTTTACCTCAAAATAGAGAGTACAATTTCAGCATTAAAGATTTTATATAATTTAATCTTACGTACTTTGTCCAAAAACTCTACATTCCCCGCTTATACTCACATTTATCCACATCGCCCATATAGTCCGTATTAGAAAATCACTCGATTTTCATCGCTCTCGATTACGGCCGAGGGGACAGCTGTGCCGTGCGTCCGCGATGTCGCGGACAATCGCGAGGCCCGTATCGCGCGTGGATTTTACTCGTCTACGTCGATCAGCCTGATGGCGCGACCTAGACAAGAACTCGTCGTCGTCGCCGAATCATTGACGGGGATCGTTTCGTTCAACGCCAATGTCTCCCGCAGCAGATGCACGCTACCCTCGTAAGTCGTCGGACGGTGTTATTGCGAGGACGTCCGCGGTGGTTGGCCGTTGGGTGGCGGCGGGGGTGGGGGTGGCGGTTGCGGGTGCACCTGGTGGGACAGGAGACTGTGCGCCTGCACGTGGGCCGCCGCCGGATGGTGATGGTGGTGCTGATGGTGATGGGAGTAGAAGATGGGCTGCGCCGTGGTGGGCGCGCACGAGGTGCCGACTCCGACGCCGACGCCGACACCCACGCCGACGCCGACCGAATGCGACAAGGCGGAGGTCGCGCCGACCGATGATGGCGGCGGTGGACCCGGTGGTCCAGGCGCCGTCACCGATACAGAAACGCCGGCGGACGTGGCGGTGCCGGCCGACGCCTCGTGATACAGAATCGGCACCCTCACCAGCCTCTGAGTGGCATGCGCCATATTCGCCGCCTCCAGCTCGGCGGCCAGCTGCCGCTTCCACTTGTTTCGTCGATTTTGGAACCAGATCTTCACCTGGGTCTCGGTGAGCCTGAGTGAAGCCGCGAGACCGGCTCGCTCCGACGACGAGAGGTAACGCTTCATGTCAAACGTGCTCTCCAATTGGAAAACTTGCGACCTGGAGAATACCGTCCTGGTCTTCTTCTTGCGCTTTATGCTGTTCGATTCGCGACCGTCCACGCCGACCTGCACGTTGTTCTGGCCGCCGTTGTTGTTACCGCCGCCACTATTGCCGCCACCACCGCCGCCCGCCGAAGTACCGTGAAGACTCGTCGAAGTGGATTCGCCTTCGACGTCGGCGTCTGCACAATCGTCCGCTTCACCGAGGTCGTCGTGAACCTCGTCGCCGCTCGACGGACTCCTCGCACGGTGCAAACGATCGTCGCCATTGTCATCGTCGAGTTCGTCTGCGCAAAAAGAAATGATATACGCGTCTTGAGTTTCATCACTGTGTAGTTTCTCCATGTATTTGTAATGCGGCCCGCGCGAGCTGCGTATTTATCTCGCATTGTGGTTCAATATATACAAGACACACATTGCGTATTGATCGTATGTAATCGTTAATGAGAGAAAGATAAACGCGTTAATCGCTCTTCTTTTTAAATATGATCCGCATGCGTCAATCAATCTGGGGAGAACGCTTTGGATTTACAAATTCTCTCACGCGCGCTCCGATAAATCGCTATTATATAATTTCTCTATCCATATTGAATATTTAATCAATTAATAGAACGCTAATTAATATTCTATTAATCCATTTTGACATAATTGCTGCGTATTAAATTGCGTATGTAAATGCAGATACATCATCCAATGACATTATTTATATGCCGCATCTCCTTTTAAAGTATATCGTGATAGAAAAGGAACTTATAGATGACATTATTTATATGACGTGCGCATATTTGTATATAAAATACCGCCGCCGCATCTCCTTTTAAAGTATATCGTGATAGAAAAGGAACTTATAACAATTTTGTTAATTTCCATTGTGTGAATACTGTATTTTCCATATATGTTTCTTAATTAGCATGCAATACTTTATGACATAAATCAAATATCTCATCAATCTTTTTTTGCAAAAAATTGTCGCCATAGAAATTTTTCGGTAATTAAATTTTTTTAAATTGAATTTTAGTTACCGATATTTAATTATAATATCAATTTTTATTATCGATATATCGATAATTAAATTTTTCTAAAACATTGTACCAATCCTCTTAATGCGGGGAGGGGGGGGGGAGAGAGAGAAAGAGAGAGAGAGAGAGAGAGAAAATATATTGTTACAATAATATCAAATATAACGACACTTGGAAATATATTAAGATCGGAGATAAATGATCATTATGGTATTGGTGGTGATGTCATTAATATGCGTAGAATGGTTTTAATTCTTTCTTTCTACAAATAATTGTTGTAGCAGATAAAAAAGTCGGCTCTGAAACGAAACTAGATACGATTCTTTTTTATAATCAATAATTTGATATTTGTTAGGAGAGATATATAATCGAGCGAAACATATTTTTAAAAATATATGTTTTCCAGTTTTTCTTATTCGTTGAGTGAACGTCATTACTATTACTATTGAAACAATATCTGTTAAGAAAATCTCTTGATTTCTTTCGCGCATATATTTCAAAGTATTGTCTCTATTTTCCTATACTTTTTATATTTAAATTATATCTATTTTAAATAAATTATATTTTTAGCAATTTTTGAAGAATTAAGATCAAAAATTGTTATGTTGCTATCATTGTACCGTTAAAGAATTTAACGTTATAATGCGGGGATGCGCTATCAAGTGGAAAGAGTCCAGTGAATCGCTCAGTGAGCGATCGTATAAATGTGTCCGTAGGTGCGGATAGTAACTATCTAACAATAAGTGCTTAGACAAGGTGGCAGAAGCAAAACGATTGGCGGGTAAGGCGATCGACGTTGGTTTGTCGTGGTGGAAGCCGTGGAAGCCTTACATATATTTGTATACGCGAAGAGATATACAGATAGATATACGCGTGCTCGTCTCTATATGACGCATGTAGACAATATATCTGTATATCTATAAGAGGTCTCGCGTGTTAACCCTCGTTTCTTTCGTTTCTTTTCACCTTCTCTTTGCGATTTTACGTCTCTGTGAATTATGGTACGTAGTCTTTAAAACATTGAGTCGCGGATATGTTTTAATCTCTTTAAAATACGACAATTTAATTTAATTAGTCATTTTAAATATTAAAGACATATTTTATTATGCACAAAAATATTAAATATAAAATGCTTTGCATTTTCATATTTTTATATCTTTCGCTTAATCAAAGTTTCGAGGGAAGAGATATGTTTCATAATATACACTCTTCTTCCGATTGTATGTATTTTCTCTTGGATTATCCTAAATAAGCCGTCTCGATCTGCTTGCAGGTACGCAGGGATGGATAGAAGGAAATCGAACTTACCTCGCTGCGGGAAAGATGCGGACGCGGGACTAACCCGGCTGAGGGTGCCGACCACGTCGCTCGGCGAAGGATGCTCGAGCGTCTGCAAGCTGTGCGTCGGCCTCCACGGAAATGGCCAGCCGGCGCCGCCGAGGAGGACGCCACGGATACCGTCGGCGTCGACGATGTCCGGCGACTGGCCGGCAACCTGCACGGCATTACTGAGAGCGGACGACGCCGCGGCGGCCAGTCGCGAATGATGCTGATGCTGCTGCTGCTGATGCTGATGGAGATGCTGCAGCGTCGACGGGTAGAACAAGCCGCCGATGCCGACCGGGTATCGGCTTGCTATCAATCTACGACAAGATGACGCATGCGATGTTTCACTGGTACACAGTACAGTATAGAGAGATCTATCAGTGACTGAAAGAGTTAACAGGAAGCGAGGTTCTTCGCGATAAAGGTATGTGAAGGTTTAAACTATAGCTTTTGTTTGGTTGTCAATCTTATTCGAATGGATGATGCGGAAACAGATTTTATTTTTAATAAGAGATGTTTCTTTAATAAGAGTCGATCAATTTTTTTTTATTTTTTTTTTCTTAGTTAAGACGTAGACAGCTTTGACGTTACAAGCAATTAAAAGCAAAAAATATCTGCTTTTAAATGTATTTCTTGAATGTAATTAAATATCAGAACAAACGTTCTTATTCATTTAAATATGCAAGAAGACTTTATTTTCTCAGAGTTTTAATTTCAAGAGATTTTCTTGCTATTGTAGTACGTAATGTTGAATATTAAAAATTCTTTAATTCGTGAAAAATACGATTATTAACATTTAGGTCAGGATTTTTAGAACATAATCTACAAATAGTTTTTTTAGTGATTATAATATGTAACCACCGATTGCAAAGACTTAGACCCCATGTCATGTTTAATTTAACACAATATAATATTCGCGTTATTATATTAGATTATATTTTAACATGACACAAATGCGAAAAATAATGTCTTTACGTCAAGAGATAAATCAAGTAATTAAATATTTAAATGTCAAGAATTGATTGGTATTAGATAGCCTGCGAAGTTCGCGAACTTCAAACTTTATATCATCGTTTTATATCATCGACATATAATCATATAAAAGAATAACTGAGTGCCATGAATATCATATACACGAATTTCGATATCTCTCTCTCTCTCTCTCTCATTTACGAAAAGAATTACGAACACGGTTATCACTATAAATACGAAGAGAATTTGTGTCTATGATTATTCGAGTAATTCGAACATGAGTTCGTTACATACGTGGATAGTACCGTTGTTCGTATGACCGGCGGCCATTACTCCCTCGGATTTACTCAACCGCTCGGGAGAAAGCAAAGTTCTTTACTGTCAGAATATTTGGAAACGGTGTTTGCGCCGCAACAATGGCCAGACGTGCTACGGATAAACGCTCGACTGGCTATTAAGAGCAAAAATCCGCTTAGAGCAAGAAGCTCTCGAAGAGATCGTTGCGTTAACCGGAAGGTATTATACCTGCGTCGCGGGCCCTTCCAGTAGCGAATCTAATGGTGGGACCTTATGCGTGGAAGAGACCTTAATTAAACGATTCTTTCAATTATAAGAGTAGTTTTCACATGCTAGTCTTGAAAAATGTACATTCTATCTCGATAAAATGATACGATATAACCAGAGTACGATAAAGGAATGAAACGTTTCGTGAAATTTTGCAATTCGTGACCCGATGGTCAGGGTCTTTAGATCGTTTATCGGCAAATCCGTCACTGGGTCTTCACGGCCAGTTGTTCTCCGGCTTTTAACGATTTGCTCGCTTAACGAGAACACTCTCGTTTTTCCCCAATCATTACTTCCGATCGCGACTAAGCGCCGTTGTTGCAGCTGCACGCGCCGTGGAAACTTAATGCGAGAGTAACACCGATTTGCGGCGATTCGGATAGAAATATAGACAGGCAAACAGGCAGGATTGCCCGGCAGGGTCGGTTGGTTAGGCATGTGGGCCGAGGAGGCTTCGGAAGCCCTAGTACTTCCCCGTATTCCTCTTCCTCGCTTCCCCGGCAGTCTGTCTGTGACGAGCGATCTGATCTCGTTTCGATACGCGCTCGTCTCGCGAAAACGTATTTGACATTGTTCGCCAGCGCTTTGCACCTAGTATCGCTTAGCCAACGATGTAGGCCCTGTTTCTGCAGTAACGGATAGGTTAAACAATTTTGCTTTAATATTCTATTAAAGCGACACCAGTTTAATTGTTCGCGCTTCGTTAAATTTATTTTGCAAGTCTATTTTGGAACCTATTTAGTGATATTCTTTACTCATCTTGAAACGATGTAATATTTGGTCTAAACTTTTATGAAACGGTATTAATGATGCCCTGGTGTTGCGTAATTCAAGAATATCACGGTTTGATATCGGAGAAAAAAGGTCTTTATACTAAAATTCTAAAAAAGTATTATTGTTTTTTTCTCCCTTAGAGTAGCGTACTTTCCTTATCTCCAAACGTTCTTGAGCCAATTAAATCTACAATATAAATGTATTCGAGGATAGTTTTCTTTTGCCGAGGGAAAAATTTAATAAAATGCATTTTTCTTCATTTTCGATAAATTGATTGAGCACTGATTTCTTCTTTAAATAATTATCTCTTTGTATTAACGCAAATCAGCAATGCGTATACTTGTATGACTTGATGTCTCTTCAATAAAACTTAACACGCATCGATTGTTTATTATGGAGATGAGGGTGTCATTCCGGGTGATAGATACAATAACAACAACAGCTATGATAGTTGTCTAGGATCGGAGCAAAGAAGAAATTAAGAGAGATTCTCCCTAAGAGAATTCTTCAGCTACACGCGAGAGAGAGAAATCTTCGGCACCTCTTTCTTACTCCTCCCCCCGATTTCCTTGGCATCGGAACGAGATATCGAGGTTCTCGAGAGGGCTTCGCATGGCTAACGGGAGAGGAGAGACGACGGTCCGGGGCACACAAATGCCGCGTAAAAGATAAAGGAAATCTGACAACCGCCTGTTTGTAAGCATTCAGGGACCCTTCCCTGAAGAAGCAGGTATAAACACCAAACACTCGGATCTCTCTCTACGGAGAGATCCTCCACCTTTTACTATCTATAATTCCGTAGGACTTACATCTTGGACGGCCACGAGCACTCGGCGGCTGGTCGGTTTACGAGTTCTTTTCCGTAGGTAGGTACTTAAGGTACTCTTCAGCGATACCTCTTTCGAGTGAGCTCTCTCGATCCAGCTCATCGAACATGCACTTGACTCACACGTTTCGCTTCTGATTTTTATTTCTCTCTTTCCGCCGATAATCTCTCGAGTGCAACGATTGTATATCGCGCGTTTACATTTAATTCTCACAATCAGCTGATAATGTTCATTTTTCCCTTATGTAATCTCCAAGCTTTGTAATAATATCTATTAGTAAGTTTTCTTTGAGTAATTTTAACGATAAAGATTTTTTTTAATCATTTACTCATTTACAAGTTGGAGAAAAATTTTAAAAGAAAAATGGCAATAGCCTTTTTATGTATATCATAATTGTGTTTAATCTCTTAGATATAATATACTTTGGTAATGAAACTACAAAAATTACTTTCTATGAAAGTAAAAGTTACTTGAATTAATTAAAGAATACATTTTTTATTTGTGTATACTACTTTTTATACGACTTTAAAATGACTAATTTTATTTTCTAAAGTTTAATAATTAAAATATTTACTCGTAGAAATTTTTTTGGCCAAGAGAAATTTTTATTTTAAAGATATATGGATATACATATACATATGTATATTTTGTAACTTGATGTAACATAATGTTGAACAAATTTTCGCACTTGGCACTTATTTTTTTTTTAATCTGTGCATATTTTTGATACTACCAATGTGCTTTCATTGAAAATTTCCGTTAAAGTTTACCCTCTGCGTCTTCAATAACGTGTTATACCGCTTGCTTGTATTGATTATTATTCTGCTTTTGCTTGCGTTCAGTGAGTAAGTGCCATTCTCAAATATAAACTCTTTATGCCGTTAACGATCGCTCGTAACACGATACGTTTCGTCGTGTATCGTTACACGGGGGATAGTTAAGAGCGTAGCGAAGAAAGAGAAGTCGATCGCGTTCACTAGCGAAAGTGCGCCTAAAGCGGTTTGCAATCTGTATATGCTCAACATCACTCACGTATGCAATCATTATTCTATGCCTTAGAGAAAAGGGAATAAAAACAAAGAAATAGCAGAAAAAAGTAGATTATTGGGATATTAACAAGAAAAGAATAAAGAGAAAAGAAATAGACGGATAATAATTTATATTTGTTAAAATAATTTCTGGAGAATGTTAAAAAATGAACTATATTTTATT